GTTTTGAATGGTATGTGTGCAAAATGATTTTCATGTTAAGATTAAAAATACTTTTCCTCATTTCAAAGATCTCAAATTCCCTTTGTGTAATCCCTGAAACTTCCTAAATACATTTCAAACATTTGTTTTGAGTAACAATTTATATTTTATCTGTTATTTTCTCTACCCTATCTCTATACGGGATTGGTCAATTTGACTGACTTCATAACAACAAAAAAAATCGAAATAACTCAAAATTAACCTTCTTTCTACATTTGTTTATCTTAACTAGATTTAAGTTTGTAACAGTATAGATCTATTTGTAATTAAATTTTATTGTTTTATTGCCCTTTGAACCATGTCTAACTACTATCTGCACCATTATAAGCTGTAAGTCACTTGCGGAACATATTACACTATCGAATTACATTACCCATGAACTGCTCACATGCATGTCTCATGAACCATTTTTATTATATTATTATTATTTATTTTATTTAATCTAATCTTAGCTAACCTAAAAAAGATCCCTATTTTTACATTTTAGTTACTTTTATAATAAAAAATAAAGAATAAACATGAAAAACAAGAAATAAAGTACTTATCCAATCTTCTTTTTTTCTTGCTGTCGATTGTCGATGACACTTAACCAAACTTTTTTTTTTATACTAATAGTAGTAATGCACTAAATATTTTTTATTTAATTAAATAATGTACCAAAGAACATAGACTTATAACATAGAAAAAGTACACAATTCCCCCTAACTCTCAAATATTTTCTGTCTTTCTAATTATGTGACAAGAGCCGTTACTAATTCATCCAAGTTGGTCATTACCTTTCACATGGGGATGAAGCTTGTACTCTGAGTGAAACTGATGATTATCTGTTCAGAACACAATGTTATACAATATGTCATTTGCTAGATGAAAACCTTGGCTTTCTATTGGTTATAGGTAATATATAATTAAAAGTAAGAGAGAACTATTAACAAATCCTGAAACAGAGGATGTGACAGGTGGGTGTGGCAACAAGGGTCTGATTTTCTATTTGATAGCTCTGCAACCAAACAAAATTGAAGGCTATAAAAATTATGGTTTGTCTGAGCAATGACGATTTTATAGTGAGTAACTTAGGTTTAATTTCATACATTTTGGAGGGGAGGTGGATAAAATACCGAAGAGAAGATACCTAGAGAAAATGTGCCACATTTGTCACACTAGTGGAAATTCAGGATTTATTTTAACATTGCCTTGCAGAATTAAGAAATTAAAACTATTAAAATATTGATTATTAACTAAGATTTTATGCTATACTAATTAGTATAATATAAACAAAAAGTAATTTAATAAAATTTTGAATGTAAGACACTAAAACCTTGTGTCATGTGCAGTAAATTATGCCCATGGCAATAGGGTTAATGAGTGGAGGTAAGATATCATACCTGAATCAAATTTACAACTTCACATTATTCTGATTCACATTACAAAAATCCCCACAAACATGCTTACAAGTTATACTACTTTATCTAATAAGAATGGAGATGTGATTCCACCACAAAATTATATTTGACATTTCTTAATCTAGCCTACTACTGAACAATGGAAACTTACCTGTATCATTAAAATCAGAGCTGACTGAAGCTGCTCCTTATTCAAAGGGTTTAACTTTAACACAGCTCCTGGCCATAAGGTTTCCTCAGTCAAAGGAGAGTGTCCAAAGAATGTATTATTAGTATATTGGTTGCTGTTACTAACACCTGAAATGAAATGCAGTTAATAATAAATGTTATAAGAGAGACATTAAACTTGTGTTAGTAACTTCTAACAATATGGTCAGTAAAACCCTACAACAGGTGTCAAGAAAGTAACTTTATACCTAGTGAAACACATCAATTATAACTACTAGCAACTTAAATTTAAATACATATGCAGATAGACCAAATAACAACATCATGGAATAACTAAAAATTTAAACCAAATTTAATTTCCATGTTCAAAACTGTCCATCCAAATATCAAAACTACCCTGAATTATATACAGTTTGCACAGGCTAATGGATAAAATATTCCAGGACTTTTCAGGACCAAACTGTCATCTTCGAGGGCCTAAGTTACGCATTTTAACAGCACTTAAACTCCAACAACATTAAATAACATTTTTTCATTATGTTTTGTAAAAGATGCATAACAGCTATATAAAACATTCTAGTTATAACACATACAGTGAAATACAAGTAAAAAAGATACACATTTAACTTTCCCCTTTTTATTTGGAAAAAAAATATCAGCTATAACATTAAGAGTATTTGTTCAATAAATTAAAATCACATAATTCAAAACATTTCTAGTTTACAACAAATAGCACTAAGCCAGCTAAAATGACTTAAAATACGAGGAAGGAGTTTTGAAGTAGGTTAAGGATTGAATATGTGAGCTGATTGCTGCTACTTTTTGTAAGTCCTGAAGTTTTTTTTTTCTTTTAATTTCGCACAAAGTTGCACGAGAGCTATCTGCGCTAGCCGTCCCTAATTTAGCAGTGTAAGACTAGAGGGAAGGCAGCTAGTCATCACCACCCACCACCAACTCTTGGGCTACTCTTTTATCAACAAATAGTGGGATTGACCGTCAGATTATAACGCCCCCACGGCTGAAAGGGCGAGCCTGTTTGGTGTGACGGAGATTCGAACCCGCAACCCTCAGATTGCGATTCGGGCGCCTTATCCACCTGGCCATGCCGAGCTGGTCCTGAAGTAATAGGCACGTGTCAGAGGTTTGGAAGTTGGCTAAAGTTACTCCTCTTTTTCAGGGAGGTCATAAAAATTGTCCCAGTAATTATAGGCCTATTATTCTTATAACAGTGTGGGAAGAGTTCCTGAAAGTCTGATAAAAGATCCTTTGCAAAGTCATTTAATACAGTTAAAATTTTATGAGTTAGTCAACATTATTTCACTAGGGGAACAGTATACAGGAACCAATCTGGGTTTGTACAGTTATAGAGGGGAAAGATAGAAAAAGGGAGAAAGTAAAGTACAGTTGCCTTTCAGAGCAGCATAAGTCTTACGAAGGGAAAAACTGGTTCTGGTAGAGGAATATGTAAATGCAGTGGAAAAGGGTGTGAAAAGCATTAACAGACATTCAAATGATGGTCCAGGACCACAGGCAAGAAGGAGGAGGACACATGTCTTGAGAGAAAGGTGGTACAAATAGTAAGAAGCCAATGGGGCACATGTGAGAGCATGCAAAACCATATTAAGGTCCCAATTAGGCATTTGAGTAGGGTGAGGAGGTCAGTGAAGAAGGAAGGGGTAGAATAGAGTGGAGAAGACAAGGAAAGAAAACACCCTGTGATACCAGGAAAGGTGAAATGTAGTGGATAATGCAACCCAATAATCAATGACAGTGCAGATCAATAAACCATGGTCAAACAGCCAAGTACATAAAAGGCAAAGTGGTTCATAGTAAGCTGGCTAAGAGGAAAGGAGTGGCAAATGGACCAATGATCAAAGACCTGCCACATTCTTTGATAGACAGACATAGTGAAAGAGTGATAGGAATTTGACAAGAAGAAGGCTACATGATTGGAAAGTCTGGCCTGATAGGTGATGCATTGGACAAACCTCCCATATGAGGATGATATCCCTTGATGAAAAGAAGGATGCACGAGGTTGAAGCAATAGAGAAGGGAAACTGGGTAGAGGAAGGGGGTCTGGACACTAATTAAAGAAGCAGAAGAAACCAAGGAAGAGCTGGCCGTAGAGGCACCACCAATAGGACCCAACAAGGTGTGTCGCCTGTCAAGGCAAGGACCCAAAAGAGATAGATAGGCATATGGAAAAATGTGATACCAATCCTGGCCGAGTGCATCAACAGCCACAACTGAAGGATGAGGAATAGAGAACCAGAAGAGAGGAAGTTTGGAGTTGATAGGGGTGGCAAAGACATCTATAAGAGATGCCAATTAAAAGCAAACCCAACAAAAGACCTGGGGGTGGATGGACCACTCAATAGGTAAAATGTGATCTGGCCAAGGATCCTGGAATGAATACTCCCTTGACAGCTGAAGTAAGAAAGGCCCATGAAATTGTCGGAGTGGATCATGGCCAACTGATCCACCAGAAGGGGCAGGAAATGGGAACATGTCTGATGAGCTCATTGATGTGGAGTGAATGTTAGTCCTGCATTCAAACACCAGAAGTCATGTTGTTATTCAAAGAAGTGCCACAACCTGAGACAGAAATATCAGTGAAGAAATGAAAATCTGGTCTGGGGTGGCAAGAGAATGCTGAAAGTAGTATTGGCACAGTCTAGCCACAATGATAGTTCTTCAAGTAGAGGAGAGAAGAGGTTCATAATTAAGGAAAATGTATCCCAAGAAAGACTTCACTGGTCTCTCAATGTTACTTTAAGCAGTACATGTCAAAGTTCCCAAAAGTGAAAGGATCTCTTGCACTGGATGAGAATGAGAAGCACAAATCTTGAGAATGAGAAGCACAAATCTTGAGAAAGGAGTTGAAGGCCCAGATGTACCAAATATTGAGTAGGTGTGAGAAAGGACTTGGACAAGCCACCTCAACTAAGCAGCCTCATATGGAAGAAGGGTCCAACAACCAAAACCAGGTGGCATCTGGAATTGTACATTAGGTCCATGGTAGGAAGGGCTACAATGCAATTGACATGAAACATGGTTGCAGGATGGCCAGTGTGGATTGTGAAAAAAAAAAACTAGTAAGGCACTACTTGCCACAGAGTGGGATCCACAATACAATAGCAAAAAGGCTCCTAAAAAAGTTGAAAAGAAATAAAAGCAACCTTTCACAATACCAAACTGTGAAAATGTAAATAAAAAGTACAGAAAAATTAAGTCAGCAGTATAACAGAAAATGTCAACAAATCTGTGAGCAAAAATAAACACATCTGCACAGTACAACTGCCAATTCGAGAAGTGATTAATGAGTGCAGATGTAAAGACATTGCTGATTACAATAGGAGTGGTGTTGCTGCATGATAATTTACATGTGGATATGTAGGAGTGAGAGGTGGAAGGCTAGTGCCGTGCATTGAAAAGTTGTGCCAATAGAGGGCAGTGCTAGTTGAGAAAAGTTATTTTGTGAGAGGAGGTAAGATATCATATTGGAAAATGTAATATGGCATCCTACAGATGATGAAGATACATTCAGAGGGAGGAGAAAAGTGGAGAGAAATACCATGTGTAAGGACCTGAAGAACCTATCTGTCATTTAAGAATTGTGACAAAAGGCCAACAAAACTGAGACAGACAGAGGCCCACTGGGCCCTGCCTGAGAAGGATTGTGACTAACATAATGTGTGATGAATCTGATGGTGGGTAGTGAGAGGAGGGGAAGAAGAGGAAAGCAGAGTGACTCGGTCAAGGAACAGGAGTTAAAGTGCAAGGCTGTGAAAGGTAAGAAACCAGGGAAAACAATAAGGCCTGGTGTCAGGTTATGTTGCTTTGGCACAGGTCTCCAGTGAAGCAGGAACATCACTAAAGACATCAGTCCAAAGAAAGGGACATTGATGTAGATCATGCAGATAAGATGTATGTAGATATACATTAGTAAGGAGTGTATCTCAACCCAACAAGTCCCAACAGCAGAGGAACCAAATGAGTGGAGATAAGGCACAAGAAGTGATACAGGCCATCATGGTAAAAAGAAGGGTACAAACCTCCCCTGAAAACTCTTTTGGAGCAAGATTAAGCACCTCAAACATAAGGTGTAGGAGGAGGGTGGTGAGAAAAAGACAAAAACGTGAAAACTGTGCACTAGAGGATGAAACAGAAAACAAGGGGTCTGCTCCCTAAATAGGTAACAGAGGTTCCAAAGACTGAAAATCTAGGAAGGGAAAGGAAGAATGGCTAAAAATTAAGACTTAAGAATCAAGAAAGCTGTTCAAAAATGGAATCAGCATGAACCCAAATGACAGGCAAGTGTGGAAATACTAGATAAATTTAAGGATTAGGATCATGGAGCAAAGATCAAGAAGAAACATAAAACAAAGGACACAAGCTAAAGAGAAAGAAAGGAAGGAAAATACCTGAGAAATCAAGTCTTGAAACAGTGTGGAAGGATTACCCTCAACTTAAGGAAGTACCCAAAGCAAATCCAGGTGGAGGGAACACACAATCAAATTTGCTTTCCTCCAGGTCAATTTGAAATTGAGGAGAAGGGGCATCAGCTGAATGGACGGGAATAGAAAACCATTCATGCGTGATGGATCTCACTACACACTGTACAATAGCTGTTATGTCCTCAACAGTCAATGAGATTCTGTAAGCCACAGCAGAGATAGGGGCCTGTGTTTAATATCATCACTCACACAAAGTTTAAGTCATCATCAATTTATAATTCATGATAAGAATTAAAGCTTTTGAAACAAAAGCAAAAGTTTCATTAACAAATGCAAATTTCATCAGATTGAGCTCATACTAGAAATTTGAAAAAGTCTGCTCAATGCAATGCCAAGGAAAATAATGAAGCTATGAAGAGTGCAAGTACACTGGGGTAGTTACTGTGCATGGAGGTTGTATTGTCCTCCTACTGGTGAATGGCTATTGTCACATGATGATGTCACCATGCACCAGTGCAGTTCAGGTTAAACACGTGAATTTAGGGGGGATTGGCTCAAGGATATGGCATACAAATATCATAGGCAGACATGTGAGGAAAGTAGCATTTCCGTGTACAGAGGTATCAACTAGGAAAAATTTAGATCATTTGTTGAGTTGGACAAATAAATGACAGATGGCTTTTAATTAAAACAAATGCAAGTTAATGTATGTGGATTATCATAATTTGAACTATAAGTATTACTTTGATGAGAATACCCTTACCAATGTTATGGAAGAAATAGATCTTGGTGTTCTGGTAGATCAGTCTCTTATGACATCCAAGCAGTGTGTTGTTGCTAGTGGTAGGGCAAATAGGGTTTTAAGTTGTATCTACAGAAATATTAAATATGATTCTAAAAAGGTTATAATTTAAGTGTATAGGTCACTTCATTTAGCCTTTGGCTTTACCTTTGGAAGGGCATTGAATTGTTGGAAAGGGTTCAAATGAGGATAATACCTGGGAAAGAAAGGTTGTCACATGAAGGCAGGTTAGCCTCTCTGAAATTGTCTTCCTTTTTAAGAGAAGAATTAGAGGGAATCTGATTGAGGAGTTTAAGATTGTTAAAAGAATTGATAATGTTGATGCAAAGGGACAAAAGTATAAATTTTGGCAGGACAGGTGTGACCTTCAACTAAGACAGTTTTATTTTTCAAACAGGGTGGTTGGCCTATAGAATGGATTGTTTTCAGATGTGGTAGAAGCAGTAAATTTAGGGGAGTTTGAGTGATAGCTTGATAAATATTTAAATTATAAGGGCTGGCTTAGTGTTGTTCTTTTTTAAAGTTTAGTTTAAATTAGTGAATGGGTCAGCCTAGATAGGCCAATGGGTCACTTTTTGTCCTAAAATATTAAATTATGTTACTGAAAAAAGCACTAACAAATTCTTAATCATTTACAGTACAATACGTACACTTCAACTTTACACAACTTCAGTTTCACAAGTGATAAAACCTTGAATTTTTCAGAGTTAAAAACACATCTAGCATGTAACTAAAATCAAATAATATTTACTGAACATATTATTTAAACTTGCCAATAGGACAAGAAGTTAACTAGCACCTGATTTGGCTGCTAATCATATATCCTGACAAATCGCCATAACAAAAGCAAAAATTCACATTCATACTGTTACTGAGACCACCCTCATTTTGTTGTGTCCATTAACAATGTTGTATGTCTTGTGGTTTTCCCGTATAATTGTATCCTATTATATCTAAAATGTTTCCTCTGTTTTATACTGCTGCAATTATAATTAACAAAGAGCTTTTCAAAGAACTAGAACGTGGTTTTTCAACCTGTAACTTTTCTTGTACAATAATACATACCTAAGTTTAAATAATCTTATTTGCTGTCAGGGAGGCTGTCATGTATATCAGTCACAGGGTATGATCATTACAATTGAAATCATGAACTAGTTTTTTTTACAAATCTTGTTTGTTTTAAATCTAAAAGTAAAAAATAATAAGAATATAAAGAGACAAAATAATATTAATAACATACATCACAATACTGTATTTACAGTTTCAATAGCAGGTGATAATTACCTCCAAAATGTTTAGTACTGGGGTTCAAAAATGTCATTCAGAATATCCTGTCTTATAATAATCACTGGTTATAACAATAACCTCAGTTAGAAGCTGACAGTCGGTCTTTATTGGCAAATATTTGTTTCGTACATGCAGTTAGGTTTACTCACTCTATTAAACTGTCACCATTTGAATTTGCATTCTCTCCGTTTTTAACTCACAAACTTTAGGCAGTAACTGATGGAGCCCTTAGGCTAGAAATGTTGGTAACTATTTCTGAAGTGTTAATGCTGAAGATGGAATTAGGAAAATTCTGACACATCCATATTCTTATTCTATCATCAGTTTCGGGGAATTAGAGGCTTGAACTTCTTTTACACTAAAAATATCATTCCAACAATAGTTACAAGATATATTTTTGTTTACTGATAGAGGTACATCAGTAAAAGCCTGTTACTGACCAGTGTTATTAAGTAAGTGCATTTCCCACTTCATGAGTCACAATTTCATGAAACTGAT